AAAAAAAATTTTTTTTTTTTTCAGAAAAGAAGAGAAATCACAACAACGAAATAAAAAGAAAAAGAAAAGATCGTCAAGCTTTAGTGAATCTGATGTTTCTGATTCATATTCTGATTCATATAGTGATGATAAAGGTAAATAATAATAATAATAATAATAATAATAACAATAACAATAACAATAACAATATAGTAATCATGATAATATATAATAACTTTATTTTTGTAGCTAGGACTAAAAGTAATAAATCAAAAAAACATAAACGTCGTAGTAGATCACACAAAAGTTCTTCATATAAACATAAAAAATCATCATCACCAAAAAGTCATAAAAAATATGATTCTTCCTCAAGTTATCCTAGTCCAAAAAGTCATAAAAAACTTGATTCTTCCCCACGTTATCCTAGTCCAAAAAATCATTCAAGCGAGGATGGATCAGATAAATATCGTGATTATGATAATTATACTGAGGATGAAGAAGAAGAAGAAGGAATGATTCCCAGATCTAAAAGCATTCATGAAGAATCTAATGATCTTTTAGATGATAAAACTACTACTGATAATTATCCCTCCAAAAAAGGTTTTTTATTTTTATAATTATATTTTTTTAATAATAATAATTGTTTATTGATTCTTTTATTTTTTTTTTTTGCATTTATGATAGATATGTCTGATGATGTGATAGTTGGGCCTGTTCCATTACCACTAGCCGATGCAAGACTAGGTGAAAGAGAGTAAGTTTTAAATATTCAGCAAATAAATAATTTATTATTAACAATGATAATAATAATATTATATTAATTAAATGATATAAAACAGTTATGGTGGAGCTTTATTGGCAGGTGAAGGTTCTGCAATGGCAGCATATGTTCAAGAAGGTAAACGTATTCCACGTCGTGGTGAAATAGGATTGACAAGTAATGAGATTCAATCATTTGAAGGTGTCGGCTTTGTGATGAGTGGCAGCCGGTAAATAATTCACACAATATGTTTAAACATTTATGTGTGCTAATGACACATTTATTAATTAAAACTAATTCATTAATTCATTATTTAGTCATCGTCGTATGAATGCAGTACGTATACGTAAAGAAAATCAAGTTATTTCAGCTGAAGAAAAAAGAGCTTTAATGTTGTTCAAGTATGTAAATAAATTATTATTATTATTATTATTATTATTATTATTATTGCAAATATTTAATCTTTAAATGTTTAATAATAAATATTAATAATTAATATCATATACATTTTAATTCTTTTTCGCTTTCAGTCAAGAAGAAAAATCAAAAAAAGAAAACAAAATTATTTCAGATTTCAGAGAATTGTTGGCAGAAAAATTACAAGGAAAATGATTATAAAAATAATTACAAAAATATTATTACTAAAATATTAATTTATTTCTGATATTGAAATCCTTCTATTATAAATAAATAATAAATTAAATATACTACTATACACAATGAATTAATATATGAATTAACTATATATTTATAAATTCTTTTCTTTGTATAAAGAATTATTAATTGCATTATATATGAAAATTTATAATTAATTTTATTAATTAAGTTATTATAAATTATATTATTATTATTGTAAAAAAATTTACATAATGTGGTGATGATAGCAAGGTAATATTAACATATACTGTCCGAAGTTAGGATTATTTTTATTCTCATCTAATTTAGTCAGTAATATCTTCCACTTTATCCCTTCTGCTGTTATTATTCAATTACAATAATGTCATCTTCATCTTCGCCTTCATTATTAGACGTAATATTATTATCATTATACATTTCCCATTCCTCATCATCATTTCTACCACTAACATATTGATAATTATGACTGTTCCCATTATTATTATTATTACCACCACCACTATTATTTCTTCTACTGTTAATCCTAAAACTATTTACATCATCGGGTAAAAATCTCCTTAGCCCCATTAATTTCAATAAATCTTGACCTACACAAGTCCCACAACAAAATATCCAACATATACCACTAAAGAACACTATAACCATTAGAAATATAATCAAATAAAGATATGGTTCTTCGTCAATTATACTTTGATCTTTAGGTGGTGGTGTAGAATAAGATAAAGGAGTTGGTGTTGCTGCAGACATTTTTTCTCTTTAAATTAAAAAAATTTTCATCCCTTTTATATATTAATTAGTATTAGAAGAAGGAATTGTGAAA